TTTTGTTTTATATTTTATGTACATAATCTTTTTAATAAGCTTCCTCTTCTTGCCCTTTTACCCAAGAGTAAATGGAGATGAAGACGTGTTAAGTGACATGTTTCAGGCGGCGCCCTCCCGGGACAGAGCTGGGCTGCTGGCCACAGTAGACCAGCTCCTAACAGCTGTGCTATTTCTCTTGAGGGTAATGGTGTCTCCTGTTTTGTAAAATTAATATCATGTCGTGAACATCTCCTGCCTCATTAAGATTCATGCGCAACCTTATTTTAGTGGCTGCGGAATAATACTATCATGTAGATTTATCAAAATTAATTTCCTGTTTTGCATTTTTTTAAAAATTCGGTTTAATATGAGGACATAAATGTGTAGGTTGCACTGTTTTCATTTCAAGTCTAAGTTGTGGTTGAGCCCTTCACCTGGGGAGCGTGCCCGACACCCTCACATTAGGCACATTCGGTGAGATCCCGCCAATCACCCTTCCTCCTCCCCCCTCCCCCTCCTTTCTCTCCCTTCCTCCGCCCCTTTCTGCCTCCTCTCCCCTCCCCCTTCTTCTGTGTGGGCGTGTAATCATGTCTATGTTGGTTTTATATTAGTATTGAGTACATCAGATACTTTCCCCCCCATTCTTGAGTACTTTACTAGGAACAATGTGTTTCAACTCCATCTAGGTAAACACAAAAGACCTAAAGTCTCCATCTTTTCTTACAGCTGAGTAGTACTCCACGGTGTACATATGCCATGGTTGGTTACCTGCTTTGCCTTTTAACTCATCTTATTTATAATAAAACACTCTTTTTTCTACACTTCTTCCCCTCCCCTGCCATTAACCCTAACGTATCCCAAGCCACACATTAAAAATCAGAGCCCTGATGCTGTCTGGTGGGTTTAATTGCAGGGACGGCCCCCATTCTCTCTGGATTCCTCCTCTCTCTCCTCCTGTGCTCTTGTCCCAGCTCTGAGCCCCAGAGTAGCCAATGCTCTCTGTGGTAAGGGCGTGGAACAGAGTGGAAGGGACCTGGAAACACTAGAGCAAAATTTAGTCAGGAAAAAATTGGGGAGAAAGACGAAAGGGATAGCTGGAGCTCAGAGCTGCAGAAGGGGAAGTGTTATGCCCGAAATTCTCCCAAAAGACTCCCACGGACAGTCCGAAACACACTCCGATGTAAAAAGCATGAGATGAATTTATTTCAGGCCCCGGGAAGCCTGGACTCTCCTGGCATGCAAGCCTAGGACAAGCCGCGAACTCGGGGTGAAGGCAGTTTTTATGGAGTACAGAAAGCAAGAGGGGTAGGGTCGGATACGAGTACACTTTTCATTGGTGGTTGGTGATTTCATTAGTAAAGGAGGAAGTAAAGGAGGGTTTGCATTGGTGGCTGATGATTTCACTAGTAAAGGTGAATTTGGATTGGTACAGGTGAGGGGTGGGGGGTCCCTTAACTGGGGGCTAGAGTTGGTATAACCTGGTTACCTATATTTCAAGGTAATAGAAACTTACTGTTTATTGCAGTAAGGTGACATAGTTAACAAGGAATTGGGGGCTTATTGCTCTGTTGCCCAAGGTGGCGCTATATGGTTGAGCAACTCGGAAAGGAATGAGAAAGGTTGCAGGGTGGGCCCTGCAGATATGGTTGAGCAACTAGGAATGGAATGGGGAGGGCTGCAGGGTGGGCCCTGCAGGCCAGGGGCTTAGGAACAGAACTTATGTGGTGAACAACAAAATGGAGCTGATCTGGTCCTCACAGAAGTGTGTGTTGCTATTTTGTAATAAAAAACATCCCTTCGTTCCTTCCACGAAGTCTCTGAGAGCCAGTGGCCACCAAAATGAAACCAGGATGTGCCCCCATGGTAACTTTACCAGTACTTTGCTCATTATGATTGTACTTGGTGTGCAGAAATGGAAATCCCAGGACACTTAACCTAGACTGGGAAGTCAGAGAAGTCCCCCTGCAGAGGTGACATCCAAGGTGACACACTGAATGCTGAGCACAGATGAGCCCGTGGCCAGGGCCTACTGGGAGAGAGAGTGGGAGGTGGGTGTTACAGTCTCAGAAGAAGAAGAGCGGTGTGTTAGGCCAGTGGTCCCCAAACTTTTTGGCACCACCAACCACTTTGATAGAAGTCAGCTTTTCCATGGATGGGGAAGGGAAGGAAGGTTTGGGGGTCAGACGGTTTTGATATGTGTCTATAGACAATTGATTCATGATGGTCTCTGCTCTCTGCTAATGATGATCTGTATTTGTAACCACTCGCCAACACTAGCATCACCTGCTTCAGCTCCACCAAAGATCAGGCGTTAGATTCTCACACGGAGCACGCAACCTAGATCTCTCCCACGGGCAGTTTATAGTAGCGTTTGTGCTCCTATGAAAATCTAATGGGGCTGCTGATATGACAGGAGGTGGGGCTCAGGGATGATGCAGGCGGTGGGGAGCAGCTGTAAAGACGGAGGAAGCTTCTCTCCTTAGCTTGCCTCTTGGTGTGCAGACCAGTTCCTAGCAGGCCACAGACTGGTACTGGTACCCATCCCCCAGGGGGTGTCCCCCCCGCACCCCCCCCCAGTGTTAGAGGAATGAGAGGCATGCCCTGCCCATTAAGGACAGTGGTGAAAGGTGAGTGCAGATTGAGTGAAGAATTGCATTTAAGTTTTCCATGGTCTTACAGCATCTATTATTATTAACCTCGTTTTCTTTCTTCCCCCACATTAAGTTTTCTCCAGGGTGTTTCCACGCAATTGGAAAATTATTTGGCCTCTGTCTGAACAATGCCCCTCTAGGCCCCAGTCTCACAGAGAAGCTTTGTTTGGAGTTATCGAACTCAAGCATTCAGAATCTATTTCTGAGCAACGTCCAGCTGCTCACAACCAGCAACACGACGTTCACTGGACTAAAGCAGACAAATCTCACCACGCTCGATCTCTCCCACAACAATTTAAATGTGATTGGTAATGATTCCTTTGCGTGGCTTCCACACCTAGAACACGTGTCCCTGGAGTACAATAATATACAGCATTTGTCATCTCACTCCTTCCACGGCCTTTTCAATGTGAGATCTCTGAATTTGAAACAATCATTTACTAAAAAAAGTATCTCCCTTACTTCCCTCCCCAAGATTGATGACTTTTCCTTTCAGTGGCTGAAACGTTTAGAGTACCTTAACATGGAAGATAATGATATTCCAGGCATAAAAAGCCATATGTTCACGGGATTGATAAATCTGCAATACTTAAGTTTGTCCAGCTCCTTCTCAAGTTTGCAAACCATAACAAATGAGACATTCTCATCACTTGCTTATTCCCCATTACTTGTACTCAACCTGACCAAAAATAAAATCTCAAAAATAGAGAGCGGTGCTTTCTCTCCATTGGGCCGTCTGAAAGTACTTGACCTTGGTCTCAATGAAATTGGGCAAGAACTCACAGGCCAGGAATGGAGAGGGCTAGACAATATTTTTGAAATCTACCTTTCCTACAACAAATACCTGCAACTGACTAGCAACTCCTTTGCTTCGGTCCCAAGCCTTCAGCGACTGATGCTCAGAAGGGTGGCCCTGAAGAATGTGGATGTCTCTCCTTCACCTTTCCACCCTCTTCATAACTTGACAATTTTGGATCTAAGCAACAACAATCTAGCCAACATAAACGATGAAATGTTGGAGGGTCTTCAGAAACTAGAAATTCTGGATTTGCAGCATAACAATTTAGCACGCCTCTGGAAACATGCGAACCCTGGCGGTCCTGTTTATTTTCTAAAGGGTCTTTCTCGCCTCCACATCCTTAACTTAGAATCTAATGGCTTTGATGAGATCCCACTGGGGGTCTTCAAGGACTTATTTGAACTTAAGAGCATCGATTTAGGATTGAATAATTTAAACATTCTCCCACCATCTGTCTTTGACTCTCAGGTGTCTCTAAAGTCACTGAGCCTTCAGAAGAATCTCGTAACATCAGTGGAGAAGGATATTTTTGAACCAGCTTTCAAGAATCTGAGTAATTTAGATATGAGCTTTAACCCTTTTGATTGTACATGTGAAAGTATTGCCTGGTTTGTTAATTGGATCAATGAGACCCATACCAACATCTCTGATCTGTCAAGTCATTACCTCTGCAACACTCCACCTCAGTATCATGGGTCCCCAGTGATGCTTTTTGATACGTCACCCTGCAAAGACAGTGCCCCTTTTGAACTCCTTTTTATGATCAACACCAGTATCCTATTGTTTTTTATCTTTATTATACTGCTCGTCCATTTTGAGGGCTGGAGGATATCTTTCTATTGGAATGTTTCAGTGCACCGAGTTCTTGGTTTTAAAGAAATAGACAGACAGCCAGAGCAGTTTGAATATACAGCATATATAATTCATGCCCATAAAGATAGGGCTTGGGTGTGGGAGCACTTGTGCCCAATGGAAGAGAAAGACCACTCTCTCAAGTTTTGCCTGGAAGAAAGGGACTTTGAGGCAGGTGTCCTTGAACTGGAAGCAATTGTTAATAGCATAAGAAGAAGCAAAAAAATTATTTTTGTTATAACACGTCATTTATTAAAAGATCCATTATGCAAAAGGTAGGTGAACATAGTGAAATTTTATGTACTTTTTTTTTTGAGACACAGTCTCACTCTGTTGCCCTGGGTAGAGTGCCATGGCATCATCACAGCTCACAGCAACATCTAACTCCTGGTCTCAAGCCATCCTCCTGCTGCAGCCTCCCAAGTAGCTGGGACTGTAGGTGCCCTCCAGCATGCCCAGCTAGTTTTTCTATTTTTAGTAGAGATGGGATCTCAGTCTTGCTCAGGCTGATCTCAAATTCCTGCCTCAGCCTACCAGAGTGTTTGAATGACAGATGTGAGCTGCCATGCCCGGCCTTGTATTTATTTTTCAATTGAACTTTCCTATAGTACCAACATTATTACTCACGACTCAGATTTAAAAATAAAATTAAGGCGGAAAAACCCTGATTTTTAGTGCCAGGGTAAATTCCACAGATGATTTTAGATTGCAGAGCTTTTGGATATTATAAAAGGTTTGATTATTTAACTATATAATATATATGTATGTGTGTGTGTGTATATATATATTTATATATATTTTTTTATTCAGATTCAAGGTCCACCATGCAGTTCAGCAAGCTATTGAACAAAATTTGGATTCCATTATATTGATTTTTCTTGAAGACATTCCAGATTATAAACTGAACCATGCACTCTGTCTTCGAAGAGGAATGTTTAAATCTCACTGCATCTTGAATTGGCCGGTTCATGAAGAACGGATAAATGCCTTTCATCATAAATTGCAAGTAGCACTTGGGTCCAGAAATTCAGTACATTAAATTGATTGAAAGATTAAGTTAGTAAAGGAGAGACTTCCTAAATTTAAAAAGTTCCATGGTAAATTTGAGTTTTACTTGAAAGTAATGCAATCTGTTTATTCATACTTGTAGGTAATGACATTAGAGCCCAATTACATGTCTTCTGTGCAAATGTATCTCCCTATCCCAGGCCTCTTATTGGCAACTGACTGAATTTGACCCCAAATAAACATATAAGCACATAAGAACTTCCTCTGCTAATGAATACACAATGGGTCACTGAGTTGTATGACAACTAATAAAGGTTTTAAAATATATTCCATTTAAGTAAAAGAGTTATGTTCGGGTTTACTATAGTCACTTTTCGAGATGTACTTAGAATGAAAGATCATTGTTTTAATGGGTATCATGCTCTTTCCATTGTAAAAGAGTAAAATATATAACAACATTTATAAAAGTGTAATTACAGTATTTTTCTCAGTTGAAAAATGTTGTAGTTTGGTAGTGCCTGCCCCAGCGTGGATTTTGTTAAATGTTAAATACCTTTTTAATATGCATGACTAGAGGTAGAAAATATTTGCAATTCATTTTGATTTCTTAAGGAAAGAAATATTTTAATGACTATTGTAGTCTCCTCATAACATTTCTGCTCAAGAGGATAGAAATAATTCTCTTACTTAAAAGTATTGTAGACAGGTTTGCTTTCTGAAGGGGAATAAGTAGGCTGGTTTTCCAGAAACAAAGAATTTTCCTCCTCTGGTCATAGACTCAGGAGATAGTGTTGGTCTCACTGGGATTCTCTGACAGTTGATCTTGAAAATTATGATGACAAATACACTCTTAAATGTTCCTATATAAATAGTAATGATGATACTACATATTTTATAATATATTCACACAGGATATATTATTTTGCCATAAAATAATGCACTATATTTAAGTCAATCATTATCTGGAAAGACCATTGTTTTATTTTTGGTTTATAATAAAATAAAAAAGTTTTTATCTCTGTTTTACAATAAAGATTCTAATCATTAGCTATAGCTATGAATAGCTTTTTGGGGGAAAATATTTATAGTTCTGGTATTTAAATATAAGACAAAGTTGAGATTATAAGGTTGAGTTAATTTCCATACTTGAAATGCTTATTTGACTGATGAATTTAGGGGCATTTGAGATGTTGCATTTGAAACTGATTTAAGTAGTTTTTTTTGTTTTTTGTTTTTTGTTTTGCAGTTTTTGGCCGGGGCTGGGTTTGAACCTGCCATCTCTGGTATATGGGGCCGGCACCCTACTCCTTTGAGCCACAGGCGCCCCCCCTGATTTAAGTAGTTTAATATTCTTGGGGCTAAATTTACATGACCCTAGAATAAGTAACACGCAGTGCTCATTCTAAAAGACTTTATATTCTGCCAACAGTGTGCACGTATGAAGGATGTATGTAATTTTCACTTCCATATCATTTGCCACCCTAACCCCGAGACACCGTTCAAGTGTCTGAATCACTGTTTTAGCTAATATTTCTTTTTCAACTGTGCGACAATCCTGCTTTATTTTGGCATCATAAAATAATCACTATGATTTCTTTTCTGGCTTTACTTTTGTATGTTATTAGCTACCAATAGCCTCAATTCTTTCATTAAAATATTTTGTAATAAATTGTTGTTGTGGATTAATCATCAATTTGTGAAAGGCGAGGCAGGAAATATTTTGCTTGTATTCCCTTGTTTATTGGCTTATAAAATAGTTGATCAAGTCACCATAGTTGAAATGGAGTTTAGTTTGAAGTTTTTTTTTAATTTTCTTTTCTTTTCTTTTCTTTATTTATTGAGACAGAGTCTCACTTTGTTGCCCTTCGTAGAGTGCTGTGACATCATACCTCACAGCAACCTCCAATTCTTGGGCTCAAGCGATTCTCTTGCCTCAGCCTCCCAAGTAGCTGGGACTGCATGTACCCACCACAACGCCCAGCTTTCTTTGGTAGAAATGAGGTCTCGCTCTGGCTCAGGCTGGTCTTGAACACCTAAGCTCAGAGCAATCCACCCTCCTCCACCTCCCAGAGTGCTAGGATTACAGGCATGAGCCACCAAGCCCAGCCTGAAATGGAGTTTAAATGTAATTTTTTTTAAGTTGCTTAATATTTAAGAAGTTAAGATGTACAGAGAAAGAAGTGTTGGAATGAATACAAATCAGAGTGATTAAGTGTGTAAACTCGGACTTGTATCTGACCTACACAGGAAGTAGCATCTTAAACTTCTGCAGGCTGCCCTTTATAATTGTTCTCAGGAGGATCCCTTGTCCCCAAGGGTCAAGACAAAGGGAGTGCCAGAAAGGATGTTTGTCTGTCCTTCTCTTTAATTTCCACAAATGACTTGCCTTCTTTGAATACTCTCCGCATGCCCTCATGTAATTTGTACACTTCAACTTTTTCACTTTTGCAAAACAAAACCCAAATGAATCGATATTGAATTTAAAATAAAGCCCCAGTATTTTGGTTTTACCTAAAAATGGTACCTTTCAGATTGTCAGAAGAAGTTGATGCAATTGGCTTGTTAGAGGCTTGCCCTGTGCACCAGAGGGTACAAGAGGATGTGAGAGAAGAGTCCAGACACAGAGAATTAGGACTGAGGCTGGGGAAGGATTGTCAAAGGTAAGCCTGGACAGGGGAGGCTCCCTGGGCAGAAGAAAACCAGACCCTTCCGAGGTAGGCGGGGTTTTAGTGAGTGGGGAAGAAGATGGCAGAATGAACAGGAAGAAGAACAGGAGGGAGGGAGACATGAACTTGGTGTTGCCAGACAGTGGGGCAGTAGGAGGACAGAACTGTGTTGCAGAGGCGTTCAGATTTAATCCTTTAGGTATTTTGAAGTTGTGGTTTATGGGTTTCCACTGGCAAAGCCAGACATTGCAGTAGGCATCCACAGTGCTTTGTGGGTACCATCAGTCCAAGGCATGCTTGGGTTTTGGATGTTGCTAATACGTGACTGCGTCCTGCACCCTTGGGACATGAGCGCCTTGTCCACAGGGAGCCCTGTCTTGCTCATCACGGCATCCTCCATACCTAGGACACGATGCTGTAGGAAAAGCAAATGTTTGATTGAATTGTGGCAGGAGACTGTATGGAAATGCATCCTTACCATTTGGAAAGTTCATATCCAGTCATTTCTGATTCTGGGGGAGAAAAATAAAAGAGCATCAGGGTACTCCAGACTCCCTACCTCCTTCAGCCTGCAAAGAATTCCAGGATCCCTCTCCACCAAAAAAACCCCTTGGTTTACATTCTAAGGCAGTGTTTTTCAACCTTTTTAATCTCACAGCACACTTGAACCTACAGTTAAACTTCCATGGCACACTTAAATTATGTACATTCTAAAAAAGGAGAAAAAAAAAGAATATACTTACTATGCTTTGAACTTCTTTAGAAAATAATTTAATAAATGATCTTTAAAACTTTTCACGGCACACCTGAGATCCTCTCAAGATACACCAGTGTGCCGTGGCACCCTGGTGAAAGCCACTGTGATAGGGGTTTGTCATCTTGTTCTCTTTTCCACTCTGGCCTCATGTCCTACTGTGTCCGGGACACCCACAACATATTTGCTTCACCAAAGCATAAAGTGAAGGAATACAGCCTCACGGACAGCCATGCATTTCATCCACCTGTGGTTCTGCTTTTGCTGCGGAAAGTAAAAAGCAAATTCTTCTTTGGTTGGCTGCATTCTGCAGTTTCAGGGTTATGTCAGGTATCCGTTTCTCCTACAAGCCTCCCTCAACACTCCTCCTCAGGATGGTGGGTCAGTTAGGCCTTTACCTTCTGCTGGTACCCGTGTCTGTCAGGGTCTTCAGAGGCGTGACCTTAAGATCCAGTAGTGCCAGTCCCAGAAGCTGCACAAGCTGGGCATAGTGGCTCACAGCTGTGATCCCAGCACTCTGGGAGGCTGAGCAAGAGGATTACTTGAGCCCAGGAGTTTG